CATACCTACTTTTTCTTTTCTAGGATCTCCCTTACCTAATTCATGAGTGTAATTTAGTAACTATGAAACTCTCTTCCTTCTCTCAGGTCTTTCCTCTCTTCAGTATAACACTTGCTTTTAGGTTTCTGACTTCTCATTTCTCACTCAGTTTACTCTCCTTTCCTCAAGCTACCAGAGCTACAACCTACAATGTTGGTTCTCAAACTTCTTTGGGTTACACGTCACTCGGAAGTTAAGGAGACTTCTTAAAATGTACATTCGTAGGGCCTCAAACTAAAATAAAACCTGAAACTTTCTAAATGGACCTCTTCTAAAATAGCTCCCATTCATCACTATTTCCAAAAAGAATTAACACTCTGTGGACCAACAACCTCCATTTCATACCTGTATTCTGAAACACCTTTTTTGTTGTCTGCTTGCCCATTAAGACTGTGAGCTTCCAGGTGGCAGTTTCTGGCTTCTCCATTTAGAATTTCCAGTGGTTTGCACAAGAAGTTAGCTATTAGCAAGCTATCAATAAATGCCAGAAGTTACACATGTACCGTCCATATTAAAGGATAACAAATAAGTGACTGAATAAAAACAAAAAATAATTACTCATTATTTAATCCACTTTGACAGTTTAAATTTGGAAGACTTACATTCTAGCTTTTCTTGTCTCCCAAATCATGAACACATATATAAATTTCTGGTGGACCAGGGTACCATCACGGATAAGAATATGGGCCTTCTCCAGTTAAGACATTAGTGAAGTAAAACCTAGACCTCACACTTAGGGATGCTTAATTGTCTCTATTCTAAATGAGGCATACTTAACAAATAGTTTCTAGGTGAGGATTAAAAGGGGGGAAAATATATATACTAGGTATGATATACACAATTATCAGACATCTGGTGACTATCAGAACATAGCAGAGCTTATTTTTAATAAGCTATAATTTTAAAACAACTAAAACATGACTGTAATGAAGAATATCTTCAGAAGAATAATGACTTTTTAAACAAAAGCCAATTTGTAGATGCTCCCTACAATAAATATACATGTATTTTTCAATACTGACGACATACATGAAAACGCTAACTCTGAATCAATTTTTGACCTATGGAATGGTAGTGATCATAGTGTTCAACCTGATGCCATCTGCACTATATATGTATAAACAAGTACAATTTTATATTTGTCTTTTAATTTTTTATTTTAAATCATGAACAATTTTCCCACATCTCCAAAATGCCTCCAAATATGTAATGTTAAGACTGGATGTGGCCCAGACAAATGAACATGCTAAACACATCTGAACATTTTCCTGGTGTTTGAAAATACAAATAATGTGGGTATAAACATCTTTATGCCTAACTCATTCTGTAAATATGATTTATTTCTTTAAGATAAATTCCTAGAAACAGGCTTACCAAGTCAAAGTGCTTGAACATATTTAAACATGACTTAAGCATGTTGCTAAAATGCCTACCACAAAAGACCGAAAGCTACCAATTCACATTACCATTAATACAGAAGATTGCCCATTCCACCTCAAAATTATCTTTAACAGTCTCAGAAATAATTTTACAAAGCATCTATGGTTCTTAAACTTATTTTTAGGGAAAGAAATCTCATAGGTAACACACATAAAAAGGGTACAGAAGCAATAAACAATGGGCATGTGTGAGAATCATCTGAGAAACTTGTTTAATAGATATATTTAATAGGTATCTCTATTTATAAAGTTATATATAGAGAGAAATACAAGTTAACATTGGTTCTATTTTTTAGTTATATGATTTAAAGTAAATTATAGATCCTAAGTTTCAGTTCACTCATTTTTTAAAATGACAGTAAGAATATCTACCTTACAAATGACAAGAAACACTTATTATAACACCTGTTCCATATCAACAGTTCAATAAATGTTTGTTTTAACTATTATGACGTGAACAGTACTTCAATAGCATCCAATTCAATAAACCCACAAGCACTTTTCCCAGGTAACAAAGAGGCTTATCTGCTAGGCCACACATGGAGAAAGCACTAGTAATACCAAGGTTATCTTTAAAATAAAATGGTACAAAAATTAACAATGTACTTATTAAGAGCAAAGGAAATAAACAGTGACAGAATTTAATCCTAAATTTGTTCTTCTATAAATTAGAATAATAATCTAGAATAACTATCCTATTTTGAGATTATCAGATATTAAAAAGACCAATATTCTTAATAGCCCCCCAAAATGTACCACCACCCCAAACTATGAAAAATGAAAAAAATTTTAATTATCACTTAGAACCTGATTCTTTAAGAAATACTCTCCTTCCTCTTAATTTCAACTTCTATAACTTGCAGGATAAATATAACACCTCAAACTGGTATGAGTAAATTAATTTCTTCTTAATGAACATTTTAAGTGTATATTTAGGCCCTCCCTGGTGCTAAAGGGGTTAAAGTGCAGCACAATGAAGCTACCTGCAGCCACTCCACACCACCAGTATGATTCCCCAGGCAGGGCAGTGACCTGCATGGCACAGAAGACATCTCCTGTCTCCCTGCTGCTTCCCTCAGCAGTGTATTTCAGTTGGTCTGCCTGTTCTGCTCCCATTCTCTCTGGAATCCTTTCACCCACCACACCTCTGTCCTGCACCCCAGTTCTTGTATGTATAAATAAATATATCTTTAAAAACAACAAAGTGTGTATTTAAGAACTTCTTAAAAATGAGCAGACATAAATTAATCATGGTTATTAAGCAACTGATCAAATATAGGTCATTTAATATTTGACCTAGCATTCTTAAGAAAAACCAGTTACATCAGGGCTACAACCTCACAAAATAGAATACTGTTTTGTTTTTGTGTTTGTGTTTCCTAATTAGTCATTTCCAGACGTAGTTAACACTGAATATTCACTTTCACTTCCTTTCCTCCTGCTTAACCCACCTCAATTTTTTTAATTAAGTGAAAAATACTAATGATTGTTAGTATTCCACAATTTAATATTTTAATTGACATATATGAAACCTAGCTATATCCCTGACCAAATCGCAAATGATGTCTCTTCATATCTGGTTATCAGCTTTCAGAGTGTTGGGTTTTTTTTTTTATTGGGTGTGTGTGTGTGTGTGTGTGTGTGTGTGTGTGTGTGTGTGTGTGTGTGAGAGAGAGAGAGAGAGAGAGAGATAACATGGTACCTATTGAATAATAATCACTAACTTTAAATTATATTACAGTCTTTCATAGTTGACATTCTAATTATCTGCTTCAGATTAAAATATAGAATGATAATGACAATATTTGAATATTTCAAGAAACACTAAAATCGGAAACATAAAGTATTTAAATACACCACAAAGAAAAGCTCTCTTCACATGGTTGTTTGACTATCATGTATGAGAGAAATTTTACGCTCAATTTCTTCGATAGCAAATTATTAATGCCATTTAATTAATAGAAGTGTTTTCAGGTGTGATTTGGAGACAGCATCTCCATATGGCAAAACCCACAAACATGATTAAGGAACATAAATTAAGGAAGGAAAGAATTATAGGTACTTTTTACATGCCAGAAGCTATACAAAAACACTTCATACCCCAGGTAGTTTAGAGGCAGAGGAGTTGATGAGAAAGGGGAAGAGAGAAAGAGAGAAACAGTTTTCCCAATCCAAAGCCTAAGCAAAACCTCAAAGTAGGCAAAATATCACCAATTCTCTCTGTAACACTGGTTCCATTCTTTAAATGTTAGTTTTATGCTTCTATAATGAAACTGATTGTTTAATAGGCATAGAAGATGAAAACTAGTAATGTTAAAATAAAATCAGTGAATTCACAATCTTAGACAGGTTTAAACTATATCCTTAATCACTATGTTAAAATTGCTCCTCTATGTTTTCATCAATATTTCTTAGAATTAGTTCACTCAGATTTCCTTTGTTGTTTTACCTATGGAATGTCTAAGAAAACAAAAAACCAAAAAAGGACTCATTAGTAAAAGAACTTACCATAATTTCATCATTTATAATTAAAGCTAGAGATTGAGAAATTTAGAGATAGTAAGAATATCCTGTTTCATTAATCTAATGTAGGACAGTTAATATAAATTCTTGTATTTTCAAGATAAGCTCTTGTGATCAATAGCAGAGTATAATGATAAGTATGTTGATACTGAGCTAGGAGTAGGGAGCAGAGAAATTATACCTCATTATGGTCAAAGCTAGGAATGAAGAAGAACTTTTTATGTAATGATGAATAAACCTTTAAAAATTTCAGTGGGGTACTCAAATTTTAACTATAAAATTACTTAAAACAAAGAAAACAAAGCAAAAGTCACTATGCTAATTTTAAAAATAAGTGCTGCTGCTTTAAGTGGCCAGCAGTCTCACATCAACTTCAGGTTGCAATCATAACATCCATTAGCGTGCTCCACAGCTCAGAGCAAGCAAGCAAGTGGTTGTCAGTGCAGCTAGTAAATCACCTGATCCTATTACAAAATCAATTACTGCAGTGCATTTCCATTGCTACACAATCTGATGATGACAAAATGATATTGGATAGCTACTGCAAGGTCAAGAAAACTGCTAAAAACATCTTTAATTGGTCTTTTATTTTTAATCATTTGGTCCTACTTAAAAATGCATCTGTTTTAACTGTATATTTTCATTTGAAATAAGTCTATGTAGTTACCTTTGGTTGCCTGGGACATTCGAAGGATAATCTCTGCAACTGGTCTGATGTGTGGCTGCAAGAGAACAGATCGGAGCAGCAGGTCGAACGGCTCAACCTCTTCATTAAAGAAGAAATAATGCTGCAGCCACAGCCACACATTGACTTGCTCATTGGAGGAGAATTTAACTTAAAAAATCCGAACTGGTAATGTCCCATAAATACTCAAAATTGGCTAGCTGCCTCATTCTGCAGTTCTCTGGCTGAAAGAAACACTGTTAAAAAAGAATAAAACAACAGCTTCCCTACAGGAGATACCAGCCTCAAACTCATTGTCAAGAAAAACTCAACACTGAAAACAGAAGTCTCCCGGCTACTCTTTAAAAAGAAGGTAAAGTGCTTTACTATTTCAAACTGTTTTAAATTAAAGCCCGAGTACTTAACAAAGGATCAAACTCAAGATAATATACCCCAAAATCATACTAACCACTCTTTTCTGTCCTCCATCAGTTTAGATCTGTTTGTCTACTCCTTCAGCTCAGCCTATCCTACCTGTTCCCTCTGCAAATGCACACGATGCAGCAGCCAACAGAAATGAGCCCCGCCCCTCTGTCCCCACACACTGTAAGAGCCGCTCAATATCTGGAAAAGAACTGCTGCTGCAATGCTTTGAGAAACAACAGGGCGCAAATTACTGGATGGATTCTTTAACTTACCAATCAGAACTGCTGACCTTTTATGACTCTACGATTCAAGAAGCCTGCCACACACTCACAGTAAGAATAATCAACTGATTTTCCTTCTGTTATAGATTAATTTACAGAACTGTTTTCCATCTTATTCAATCTAAAATAAAGAAACATAGGCATAAGTAATTTTTAACAAGCAAAATGTAGATAGTAGCTAATAAAAATCTTTTGAGTATTGTTGGGAAAGGCAAGGTGGTGGCTGATACAAAAATTGAATTTAAAAAAAATCCTCTGGATATTATACTTAAAACTTGAGAAAGAGCAACAGCATTCTATAGCAGAAATAGTGATGTAGCGAATATGGTATGAATAAGCAACTTAATCCATGGGAACCCCTGCTATCATAAAAGTTAAAAGAGTTTTAAAGAGATTATAAGAAGATAATGACAATTATGTGATAGTTACAATTATCAAATAGATATATGACAAGTGGCAATTTTAACTGCCATTGAAAAATAAAACCTGGTTGTTCTGTTATTAAATCTTTCCCACTTAGTTATTTGCATCTTATTAAAATGATTCAAAAAACACAAACTACCTTGAAATTATAAGTAGTAGTATAAGTAGGTTAGCCGTAACTCCTTAAGGATCCTCTTTTGGAGGACATAACTCCTCCTAAGCATCCTCTTTTGCCAATAATGTCTGAAGATACACATCTACACCATTATAAACATAACCTATATAATTTCCAGGACAAGACAGGGTCACATTATTACAAGTAAGTTTATGGTCTTCCCAAAAAAAACACCCTTCGAATAATTTTAACTTAACGAACATAAACCAACAGTTATTAGTCTCTGCTACAGCACTGTTTTTGAGAAAAATAGTCTAAAAACTAAATTTAATAAGCATTTTAAATGAAAATGCTTATTTTTAGAACTTCCTGTTTCCTGTGGTACAGAAATGTTCTTAATTTGAGTACACCTCATGTTTAATATGTTCTTTGGTTTAAAGCTAAAAAAGAGCTAATATTGCCTCTTCCTTCACCTTGCACTACCCTTTTGATATTCATGTTACTCTAAAATCAATTTCCAGATTACCTAAAAATAGGCATGCACTTCACACTGCAATTTTTTTTAAAACCTTCTGTAGATAAAGGCTATGGAAACAAACAAGCAAAATAATGCAGTAACCTTTTACTCGCCTGCTGGAGGTACTGTCTGCTGCACAGAATTTTAAATCCTCATCTGCAGATGCAATTGAGCTGGGATTGCCAAGAACTCTGCTTTTCCTGTGCTGCTGGTACAGTTATTCATCGAAAGAGCACATTAGGTAGAAAATGTGAAGTACTATCAGTTTAAGTTTCTTATATGATCTAACAAAAGAACAAAAATCTAGCTATAGCTCTGTTCTGCCACGTTTTCTGATGCATGTCAGACACGTTGGGAAGAAAGGTCTTATACTGCTGATGCACTCCTCCTAGAAAACGTGCAAGATGGGGAAGCTTAATAGAGGTAATGAAAAAATTAATACATCATCCTAACGGAAGAACAATGCACTGAACATTAAAACCTCATACAATTTCCACTGTCAACAAATGTGTAACATGCCCATCAAGCTTTGAGATTTTTATTACCTTTATAATTAACAAAGCCCATAAATAAATCATGTCCAATATTACAAACATCAATAAAAATCCCCACTAAATGCATATTGCTATTAAGGCAAGCAAGTTATTTTCCAGCTACTCATCAGCAATATTATCTCTAAACAAAACTATGAAATTAAATATCCAAAACTACAGAATACTTACAACTTGATGTGCACTACTTCTTTTCCCTAAGATCCCACCAACTACTCTCTGGATCTTTTATTAGTTATAACTAAAATAGAATGTAAACAAAAAGAGCTATTTTTCATTATTTACTATTTTTCCTCCCATGTCAGCTAATTTAATGTATTATTGATTTTTAGGTTGCATATAGATGGCGGTGGAAGGCAAACCAATACAGATAAAGGTTTAAAAACTACCAGCAAAAGAAACTATTGTTTAGAACAAGCAGGAACTATTATCTAGCTAAAGATATGTTTAAAAAGAAAAGGAAACTATCTTAATGTTTCTCACTGATGACAATAAATAATCATTACTTTTTAATAAATGAAAGCATATCAAAGATGTGCTTTCCTCCTTAATGGCACTAGCTCTAAATATCACAAACTTGGTTTAAAATTTTTAACAAGGTATTTTAATTGAATTTCTACAAACAGAACTATGCAACAAAGCCCAATTTATATATGTTAAGTGAGAACAAGCTAACTTCAAATATCCCCTTAAGTAAAATGTTATCAAATAAAAATTTATCCTACTGGCGTTATAATGTTTAAAACTTTTTTCATTCAAATCATATTCCCATATATAGTATCTCAGTGAAAACTGACTTTGACTTTAAAATGTGAGCTCTGGAGTGCTTATCATCCTTAAATAGTCTTGGAGATAAAATTATTTTCATATTTGTATTTTCACTCTTAATCTCTTGTCAGTATACAGTTAAAATTTCTCCCAAACTTTATGGCATGTAATATGACAATCTGAAAGCAGATGTGGTAACTAGCCATCTTCATTAAATCAGACTTTAAGTTTATCTGCACAAATGCAAGACAATGTCATCTTTCCTATTTTTGTTCTGGGAATATATGGTTATCTTCCCTTCAAAATATGTTAACGTTGGACATGTAATTAGCAGTTATTTATAAATGTATTCAGTAATGCATATTTTTAACTTTTCAGTTTTACTTTCTAGAAGGGTAGATATTGAGAGATGTGACCCACATCAAAAGTTCTTTGGGTTCATCTTCAATAATTTTTTAAGAGTATAAAAGAGTCCTGAAATGAGGGAAGGGGGGGATAAAGGGGTGGAGGGGGAGGGAGGAAGAGAGAAAGAAGGGTGGAGAAGAGGGGGGGGTAGAGAAACTCACTAGGAATTTTTGCTCACCTTTTTTTTTCTAAAATCAGGGTTTATAGTTTGGGTAGTAAAATGATGCCAGTAATCTTAAAAGCAGTGATTCTAAAAACACAGACTATCAAATACAGAGAGTCTATAAATATTTGGAAGTCATTTTAATATTCAACAACTAACATCTTGTGAGGTTTTGGATCTATCATGCATTTTATTTTTTAATTTATTCATTTATTGGCTTATGTTGTAGTAGTAAATAACTCATTGTTCTGCTATCCAGAACAATGAGAATAGTCAACAGAATAGTCAAATCTAGCTGGTAAACATACATACAGCAAATCAAAACAGAAAAACCACTGTCAGAAAAACAAAAGTTTCTAGAATTCATATATACAGATCACTAGTTTTAACAAATCACTAGTTTTAAATAATACTTTTTCCTGAGAATATGTAATTCAGGAAAATGTAGAGAATCCTAATTCAGGATAGTTAAAAAATTTACAGTGAAACAACTGAAACAATTCCTACTGAAGAGAGTATGTTCAACGTTTGCTATATTAAGTCTCCCACTGTCAAACAAGCTTCTTATCTAAGTTTGTATGTACTATCTCATATCATCACAATAAACTCCAAAGAGTGAATTTTCTCCTTGGTTTGCCATTGGTCAAGACTCATGTTCTAGATCTTCAAGAGCTCTGACTCCTATTCAGGAACTCAGTCAACAAGTGCAAGGGTGGTGTAGGTAAGGAAGATGCACAGATAAAAGTCCACCTGCCTCCACTGAACTGACATTGTGGGCAGAGAAGACATACAACAAACAAATCAAGTATTATTTAATAGACAGTGCTACCTGCTACAGAGAAAAGGTAGGAGGGGAGATGAAATGGTCAGAAAAAGCTTCATTTTTTTATTTGAATTGTAAACTACATTTTTAAAGATTTAAAAGTATATTTTAAAAATTGGGCGAGAAGAGCAGTAGAGGAGAAAATGTGGCTAGTGGACAAAAGTTTTAGTTATTTTAACGAATAGTTATATGTAAAAGTAGAAGATTTATAATGAAGTTCTATGTATCTTCTCATCACCCATATTCAGTAATTTCTGAAGTTATTACCAAAATTGCTGAATTTTTTAAAATTTTTTTTGAGATTGTTTATAGAAAGCCCTAGTCACTGTGTCATTCCCTCTCCTACCACATATACATCATGTATCCTTAAACAGTTCATTATCTCACAGAAGCACAAAATAACTGTATCAACTCATCAAATTAACTGTTTTCAAAGTTTTAACTGGTACCTGTCAATATTCACATTTTCAAGACTGTCTCTCTAGTCTAATCTAGGAACCTGATCTAAACAGAGCCCCATAAGAACCACTCTTTGAATATGGTTATTATCTTTTCACATCTCTTAACTTGGGAGCAAATCCCCAGAATCCTTCTTTTAATCATTTCATGGACTTGTAGAAACCATGTCAGTTGTGCTATATTTCAAATTGTTTATTATCTATTTCCTACAATTAACTTTTGAGATGACAACTCTAAATTCCAAACTCAACAAAAGTACTAGAGATCTAACAGGAGACGTAGGTCTCTTACTAGTGCCAAAGAATGGAAAAGGAATTTAAGTCTACTGATTATTTTTGTACACTTGTTGAAGTTAACTTGAAAAATTTATACTTGGTGCAATAGCTCTGAAAAGACAGAAGAGGGAACTAAAGTACCTAGGAACTCCACAATGACAGAGCTCTAAATTTTATTTAAGCACTGATTTTCAACTTGGCAATGGTTGAAAAGATATTAATAACTTTCATATATATTCTCTTATAAAGGATATATGTTGAAAATCTTTATGAAGTAAATAATACTGAATGAAGAGCAAATTTATACACAAATGACTGCTGCTACAGGCCAGAGTCTACCATGTAACTAAGACAAAATTCTGACAAGTTTCCCATCACTGTCCTTTACTCTAGTTGTCAATAATGTACTTCACTTCCTTCGGAGCCCTCACCATTATTAGTACACTGATAGTCACATCAAAAATCCGTGACAATTTAGATATTTCTTTAGGAAGCACAACATTTCTTTACCAAGATTCTTGGTCTGTCCTGATCATCTTCAGTGTCTTCAAT